AACTCACAGCACCACTAACAACTCACAGCACCAGTAACAACACCACTAACAACTCACAACACCACTAACAACTCACAGCACCACTAACAACTCACAGCACCACTAACAACTCACAGCACCACTAACAACTCACAACACCACTAACAACTCACAGCACCACTAACAACTCACAACACCACTAACAACTCACAACACCACTAACAACTCACAACACCACTAATAACTCACAGCACCACTAACAACTCACAACACCACTAACAACTCACAACACCACTAACAACTCACAACACCACTAACAACTCACAACACCACTAATAACTCACAGCACCACTAACAACTCACAACACCACTAACAACTCACAGCACCACTAACAACTCACAGCACCACTAACAACTCACAACACCACTAACAACTCACAGCACCACTAACAACTCACAACACCACTAACAACTCACAACACCACTAACAACTCACAACACCACTAACAACTCACAGCACCACTAACAACTCACAGCACCACTAACAACATCACTAACAACTCACAGCACCACTAACAACTCACAGCACCACTAACAACTCACAACACCACTAACAACTCACAACACCACTAACAACTCACAGCACCACTAACAACTCACAGCACCACTAACAACATCACTAACAACTCACAACACCACTAACAAATTGTTTCTCACCTGGTGGTGTCTGTGAAAAATGCATTTGTTGCACACCAGTCGCACATATATCCTCCGGGAAACCGGTAACCTCTATCAGATATGTAGTATGACAGTGCCTAAAAATAATGTACAAAATTAAGTATGTTCAAGATTATATGACATCTTTCCACTATATAATAAATATGATCTGTCATGTTTCATTACTATTTTGAAAGCCGGCAATTATATATTACACAAAATTACCACTTAATATATATATTACTTTTGAAAAAAAAAATCATGGCAAGAGTTTACTTAAAAAGTGATTGCGAGGGTACCTTAATTTGGAGCGGGGAGGGCGCGGCGGTGACGGGAGCTTGGCACCACAGACACACAACGCTCTCCTCCATGCTTTTCCTCGCTACTAACACGTCCAGCTCATCATGGGCGTTAACGAGGGCATAGAGAACCGCGTTGTTGATGGTCAAGAACTTCTTGGCTCGCGTCACGGACACATACGCCTGTCTCAACAATTCATCATTTTTTGCATATAAGTCAAATAAGCAGAATGATTTGGGAATGCCATCAGTCAATATAACCCAGTCCCATTCAAGTCCTTTGGCCATGTGAACGGTACTGAAGCATATGTCTGCCTCGGACGCCTCTGTGTTACACCTCTGAGTAAGCAGAGTCACGTGATAGGGTGTCCTACTCCCACTGTAATGGAACATATCAATTTTGGAAAGTAGCTCCTGGTCTTGATAAGTTTTAGCAAAGTTCGTAAGGTCGGCTATAGTTTCGAACTTGGCCACTAATGGATTCTGAATATTTGCTGATTCTCTTGTGGCAAGTCCCACCTGAATTTGATTTAAATTAAATATGTCCATAACATCGTCATATCCATACCTACTCAGTCCACCAACAAATGTCATGGATGCTGCAATGTACTCTTTATCCTCACATATCTTCGTGGCTATTCTATAAAGTTCCGTATTTGACGTGGCTATATAAGCCCTTTTGAGTTTTGAGCGTGGGTCAAAAAGTAGAGGATCTGGGGAATGGAAAAATGAGTCTTTTTTTCTTGCTCCTACGACTGTCCGGTGGGGAACCAATAGGCGAGCCTCCAAAGCACATTGTGCCACATACGACACCTCCGGTCCGAACCTGAAGGACTGGCTGAGGAAAAACTTGTGAGTGGCTGTCACCTTATCCAGGGCGCTGACTGTCCCTCCGAAGAAGCGCAGCTGTTGGTAAGAGTCTCCCACAAACACCTGAAACATAAACAACAACACAATTTAATAACATCTGTCACCAGAGGAAAACTTGCGCAAAATAGATATATGTGAAATATCACCCAGTACCAAGTAGAGGAAGGGTGACAGAGTATAGGATTGATGACAGCCAGCAGCACGTCAATGAAGGGTGATGGAGTGCAGGGTAGATGACAGCCAGCACAATGTAAAGGAAGGTGACGGAGTATAAGGTAGATGACAGCCAGCACCACGTCATGGAAGAGCAATGGAGTTTAGGGTAGATGACAGCCAGCTCACAAGTCAAGAATGGGTGACTGAGTATAGAGTAGATGACAGATAGCACAATGTAAAGGAAGGGTGACGGATTATAGGGTAGATGACAAACAAGCACCATGCCATGGAAGAGTGTTGGAGAAGAGTAGATGACAGCCAGCTTAAACGTCAAGGAAGGGTGACGGATTATAGGGTAGATGACAGCCAGCGCCATGTAAAGGAAGGGTGATGGAGTATAGGGTAAATGACAGCCAGCACCACTTAAAGGAAGGGTGGTGGAGTATAAGATAGATGACAGCCAGCACCACATCATAGAAGGGTGACGGCGTATTGGGTAGATGACAGCAAGCACCACGTTAAGGTTGGATGATGGAGTGTTGAGTAGATTACAGCCAGCACAACGTAACGGATAGTTGACGGAGTATTGGGTAGATGAGTGCCAGCACCACATCATAAAAGGGAGACGGAGTATAGGGTAGATTACAGCCAGTACCACGTAAAGGAAGGGTGACGGAGAAGAGAGTAGATGACAACCAGCACCTTATAAAGGAATGGTAACAGATTATAGGGTAGATGACAGCCAGCACCATGTCAAAGAAAGGTGACGGAATATAGGGTAGATGACAGCCAGTACAACGTAAAGGAAAGGTGACAGAGTATAAGATACTTGACAGCCAGCACCACGTCATGGAAGGATGATGTAGTATAGCGTAGATGACAGCCAGCACCACATCATGGTAGGGTGACGGAGTATAGTGTAGATAACAGTCAACACCTCGTCAAGAAAGGGTGATAGAGTGTATGGTAGATGACAGCGAGCAAAACGTAATGGAAAGGTGACGGAGTATAGGGTCGATGACAGCCAGCACCACGTTGGAAGGGTGACGGAATATAGGATAGTTGACAGCCAGCAACACGTCAAGGAAGGGAGGCGGAGCATAAGGTAGATGACAGCCAGGTCCACGTCAAGGAAGGGTGACGGAGTAAAGAGTAGGTGACAGCCAGCACCACATCATGGATGGGTGACGGAGTAAAGAGTAGGTGACAGCCAGCACCACATCATGGATGGGTGACGGAGTAAAGAGTAGGTGACAGCAGCACCACATCATGGATGGGTGACGTAAAAGAAGGGTGACGGAGTAAAGAGTAGGTGACAGCCAGCACCACTAGATGGCAAACAAGCACCACATCATGGAAGGGTGACAGTACAGGGTAGATGACAAACAAGCACCACATCATGGAAGGGTGACGGAGTATTGGGAAGATGACTGCCAACACCACGTCAGGGCAGGGTGACAGAGTGTATGGTATATGACAGCCAGATGAAACGTATGGAAAGGTGAAGTAGTATGGGGTCGATGACAGCCAGCACCACTTTGGAAGGGTTTATCTTGAGATTATCTTGAGTTGATTTCGGGGCTTTTTTTTAGTGTCCCCGCGGCCTGGTCCTCGACCAGGCCTCCACCCCCAGGAAGCAGCCCGTGACAGCTGACTAACACCCAGGTACCTATTTTACTGCTAGGTAACAGGAGCATAGGGTGAAAGAAACTCTGCCCATTGTTTCTCGCCGGCGCCTGGGAGACAGAATATAGGGTAGATGACAACCAGCACCACTTCTAGGAAGGGTGATGGAGTATAGGGTAGATGACAGCCAGCACCACTTCTAGGAAGGGTGATGGAATATAGGGTAGATGACAGCCAGCACCACGTCATGGAAGGGTGATGGTAAACAGAGTAGATGACAGCCAACACTACGTAAAGGAAGGGTGACAGAATATAGGATAGATGACAAAAAATCATCACTTCAGGGAAGGGTGATGGAGAATAGGGAAGATAACAGCCAGCTCCACGTCAAGGACGGATGGCGGAGTATTGGGAAGATGAGTTGACCAGGGTACAAGTTGACGAGGAGTCAGGTCGTGTGAATTGACCTTGCTTCTGCTAAGTTCATAATTGAAGACGGCTGGCTGGGTTGGGCCCATCAAACAAGCCGCTTTTTAAGGAATGGTGGGTAGAGGGCCTCAGGCTATCTTACTTGGGAGCGGAGTTTAGCTCCCAGATTCCCAATAATTTTATCCTGTGCTGTCGAACTTTACATTCGACAGCACAGGATCAAATGAGAACAGAGCAGACAGAGAGACTGGACGGTTGAACAACAGCCGAGTCCAGGCTGTCGGCCGGATGGAAGGGACTCTGTTGATCAAAGGGACTCTGCTTGTCAACTCCCTCCACCCCCTCTTTTCCAACTTAAGTTCAGACTCTTGGTGAGTTGAACTGTAAGATTGTTGAACTTGGTGTTTTCAAGTGTAGGCGTTGTGTGATTTCCGGGGCAGTCAGTTGTAGTGGCCTCAAAATCTTGTGTGATGACTCACATTGTATATTAATCTTGAAATAGTGATCATTAAGTTGAATTGCTTGAATTTTGTTACTTGTCACATTAAAAATATACATGATTAACTTACTTTTTATTCTGACTTTAATTGTGTTCTCTAGATTTTTGATTTTCTGATATATTGCAAGCTAAAGAGTTGATCATCTGAATTTACTGGCTTAAAGAGTATGAGTTCATGCTTACTAAAGATACATTTGATAACACCTTAGAGTACAGACAAGTTCCATTCCTTGTCTTGGATGTACTGCACTAGAATGGATGGTGGCAGCTACTTCTACCTCCTACTTTCTACCCTATCTACTGCTCGACTATTTTCTACTTCCCCCAGTGATCTCATTCCTGTCCTCGTTCTAACTTTCCATTTTCCCTGACCACTCCTTCCTTACTCCTCCCTCTTACCTCTCTACCTGACCACTCCTCGCTTCTCCCTTACTCCTTCCTCCCACCTCCCTCACCGTTTCTCTCCCTCCTTGACCCCATACATTACTCATTACTTCAATTTTCATTCCTTTCCACTTCATCTTCCGACCCCTCATTACAGAAGGATGACAGAGTGTAGGGTAGATTACAGCCAATACGACGTCAAGGAAGGGTGAGGGAGTGTTTGGTAAATGACAGTCAGCACAACGTAAAGGAAGGATGACGGATTATAGGGTAGATGATAGCTAGCACCACGTTTGAATGGTGACGGAATATAGGGTAGAGGACAGCCAGCACCACCTCAAGGAAGGGTTACGAAGAATAGGATAGATGACATCCAGCACCACTTGAAGGAAGGATGAGGTGTACAGGGTAGATGACAGAGAACATCAAGAAAAGAAAGGATTACAGAGTATCGGGCAGATGACAGCAAGCACATCGTCATATAAGGGTGACACAGTATAGGGTAGATGACAGCCAGTACCGCTTCAAGGAAGGGTGATGGAGAATAGGATAGATGACATCTAGCACCACTTAAAGGAAGGATGACGTGTACAGGGTAGATGACAGCCGGCATCACATTAAGATAGGGTGATGGAGTATAAGGTAGATTACAGCCAGCACCACATAATGGAAGGGTGACGTAAAGGAAGGGTAGATGATTGCCAGCACCACGTCAAGGTTGGGTGATGGAGTACATGGTAGATGACAGCCAGCACCACATGAAGAAAGGGTAAAGGAGTATAGGGTAGATGACAGCCAGCACCACCTAATACAAGGGTTAAGGAGTATGCAGTAGATGACAGCCAGCACCACGTAAAGGAAGGTAAGGAAGTATATGGTAGACGGGATGACAGCCAGTACCACATAAAGGAAGGGTGACGGAGTATAGGGTAGATGACAGCCAGCATCACTTAAAGCAAGGGTGACGGAGTATAGGGTAGATGACAGCCAGCACAACATAATGGAAGGGTGACGGAGTATAGGGTAGATGACAGCCAGCACCACGTAATGAAAGGGTCACGGAGTGTAGGGTAGAGTATAGCCAGAACCACGTAGAGGGTGTTGTGTGACAATGTAGGGTAGTGGACAGCCAACGTCACGAAGGAGAGTGTAGGGCAATGG